TGCGGTCCTTGGCAGGTTCGTACTCCCTGGTGAAAGGTTCGCCCCCCCAAACTCGGCTTTACAGTGTAAGGCCGTTGAAGCAAAGTGAGCCCCCCAGCTGATGACTGACTGTAAGCAAAACAACACCAAACAGCAGTAAAGCATAACGAAAACTAAGGCGGGGACCACGTTATCAGCTGAGGCACTCCAGAGCGGGTTTGCGAGGCAAAAACGTGCAAGCCTCCCCCTGCTTCTTTCGAGCAGGATTCTGATTTTGTCATTGAATGGAACGAGAGTAATTGGGCCTCGCGAAGGTTCCCTTAATTGTTTGTCGGCCAGAAAAAGTCTGAGCTACAAGGTGGGTTGAAAAGAATCGGGGATTAGGGGCACTGTGTCCCATTGGTGCAAACTGAACGGAGAGTGGCTAACAAGCCTGAAGAAGTTCACGCCTAAGCGCAAGCCCACCTCAGATGGCTACTCAGGACTTTTTGCGAAGTCGGCATTGGCATGGCGAGGTATCGAGCTTCCTCTGTTCCAAAACTGCAGGTTGTTGTCCTCCGTCGGCGTCAGTTGCTTGCTATCTGTCCCCTCCGTGCTTGGACTTGGGCCACATGTTCTTGTATTCTCTGCACATCCAGCCACATCTGGTTGGGAGTTAGCTGGGCGCCCCCGCCGCTATCTTCTCGTCCAGCCTCGTTGGGGCGTTTTGCGAGGATCCCCTCGATCTGAGGGGCGCCCGGCTTCCCCCCATGGCCACTGCTGGCTGCGCTCCTTCCCCGGCTGCATGTCCGTGGTTGTTTCGTCCATTGTCTCGGTCTCCACTCTGGGGGTGTCTGTGTCCCCCTTGCTTTTCTTTGTTGGCCTGCTCGTAGTAGTAGCAGCGGGTCTCGTTGCAGCGCCGTGTCCCCCCTTTTGGTTGGCACGAAGCTTCTTTCTTATCTTCTTGACCTTTTTCAGGAGGGGCGCAGCCTTGTCTGGAATGCGGCATATGTAGGCTCGCGTCTCGTCTGCTTGAAGCGGTAAGTATTTGTCCACCATGCGAACTAGTTTGTCCGCGTGCTTCCCCACCATGTTGCGAGCTCGGTGACGACGGAGGTAGCTCGCATATGCTTGGGTTTGTTCCTTGTTGAGCGTCTCCCCCGTCGCAGGGTCCATCTTTTTCTTCCCCTTTATTGTGACGATGGATCTGTTGATCCACTCGTCCCCCGGCTCCGGTTCATAAAGCAGTACCAGGCCTCTCCGCGTCTCGAAGCCAATCATTTCTGAAAGAAGGGGCGGGTAGAGCTCGTACCGGCTCTCCCGCCCATCCCCCCTGGATGTTCACTGGGCTCTCCTCGGTCACGCGAGGGCTCCTTCTTTGCACGTGCTATAGGTGTGTTAGCCTGAGAGGTCACCCCGTGCAAGCGGCACTGTCACAGTGGGTCTTCCGCATTCCTATCCTGCACGTTCCTCCAGCATATCTGCAAATGCGGCACTTCGGTCCTCCTCCATTCCCCCCCACATTGGCATTCATCACTATGTCGCCCAGCAGGAATATCACGAAATCTGAGGTGTTCGCGTCTCCCGCCCAATGCTCAGGTTCTTTCTGATTCACCAAGCACGGTCGAGGGAGTTGTCGATGTGGTGGATTGTGTCCTCCCCCGGTAAAGGGAACTGGAAGGAGTCCTTGCAGCGCCCCGGTCCCCGACAAGGTCGTAGAGTTTTGAACTTGCCCTGCACGAAAATGGCTCGGTGCTACAAACCTTGTTTTTGGGGCCACTGCAGCAACACGGCAGCGGACGTGGGACTCAAGCCCCCCCGCTCAATTGGACGTCCAACCAATAGAGCCGCTGGGGACAGCCAGCGACTCCAGAGGGCCGCCTTTGAGCGCCCCCCCAAAGGGAGCGGCGGGTTGACTTGAGCCAAAGTGGCTACTGGGGTCGCTGTCTCTATCTCTACAGGGACAAGGACACAGGGCGGTCCAGCCCTGCGCCCTGCGCGCGATCGCGCCCTGCAGTCCACCGGGTGATCAAAGGAGGCTCGGCTGGACAAGAAGTGTGATCAGGCTGGCGGGTTCCGCATAGTACGATCAAATGACAACACATGTGCCCCTGGCATGTCAACTAAGCCTTGTTGTAGCGTGAAACAACACCTCGGCATGGGGGGAAGTTCGTTCTTCTATCCTAGGGGGTCTTTGATCGTTTTTGGCAATCCCACATGCCGGGGAATTTCAGGCCGATCTACCCTGTAAATCATGAAGGCAGAACTTCAGTAGGGGAAACTTGCATGCAAGGGCGAAAGGGGGCTTTTATAAAACGGGGCCTTTTCGGGATTCAGGTTGCCCGACAACTACAACAGGGTTGGGGAACTCGGGCGTAAAGCGACGCATGGTCAGGACGATCGAGGTGGCTGCACAGGGGGGATGTTTTGCAAATATTGAGTAATGGAACTTGTGTTGAAACACAAATGCTGGGACGAGGCCGCTTCTGGGCTGAAAGATAGCACCGCCGGAAGACGGCACAGCGACTTGGAACAGAAGGTTGCCAGTGCATGCGACTCCAGACCAAGCGTGACAAGAGCAGAGTGGCGATGAGTGGTCAAGTAAGAAAGAGATGCATGTGAATCCCAGCATGACGAATCTCACGAATGCTCCAGGATTCAGAAAGCAACCTGCTGGAGCTACGTCACGCAGTCTGGTATACCGTACTGGGCAGCAACGACAAGACTGGGGACAGCTGGAGGGGAGTATCCTGTTACGGTTGTCTGGACAATTCGCTGCTCTGGGTGCTTGCAAGCGACAAATGCATCAGGGCGCTGTTTTGCTGCAAAGGACGCGCGGGGCTTTTTGCAGGAAAATTTAATTTGTAAATTCCTGCAAAACGCGGAACCGTTTTGCGGGAAAATGCGGGGATTTGCGGGGATTTGAAAAGCTCAGTTTGTATACTCTTCGGCACATTGTGCGGGAAAATGCGGCTTGTAAATGCATCGCAAAGTTTGTGATGCGTTTGCGATGAAACACAATCTCTGAGATGTCTCTCATTGCTAAATGTGGTCAATGTCTTGCCTTAGTGATAAACGGCAATGTGATACACCTCAATCCACTTGTCTGCCAGCAAGCTAAAACTCGGCCGGACAAACTTTACCAGGAAACGCGGTGAGATGCTACTCATGGACTGTCTGCTACTGTTTTTCCGGCGGAAAGCTGCTGCTGCACCCGCATGATTGCACAAGCTCATGCCGACGCAGCAGGAAATTGTCCAAACCAGATATGACTGCTGCTTGTGGGTTCTTACTGTCCGGCTTACCAGGCCATGCTTTGTTCGCCAGCTTTCTGACTTCGAAGCAATCCCTTCCCGTGCAAGCCATGTCATCGTGTCGAGCTGGCTCCAGCTTGCCACAAAGGCAAAGCTTCGCTTGTTTGGTTGACGTGCTCTCACGAAAGCAGAAAGAGAGAGCATCCCAAGAACGACGGTGCTCTAAAAATGATGGTGAGATATCATGTATAGCCTACCGATGCAACAATCCCCAACTTCGCCAAAGGACCTTTGGGAAAAAGCCCCCTTTATGCCTTTCGGAGTGATGTACGTTGTGATTACTTGTATCTTGCATCGTTGGGGACCTTTACAAAGTGGCATGAGAATGACAAACTCACTTTTCCTAAGCAGACGTCCCAAAACAGTACTGTACGTGAGATCCCGGTTAGCTTAAATACCATGGGGGTATTTTTGTCAACGATCCCCGGGGAAAACACGTCAACCTTGTTTTCACGCCTCCTCAAAGCCCCATAACAAGTGGGGGGGCCCTAGTGGCCGGGGGGCTTAAACCGCCTCCCATGCCCTGCCAAGAAGAGCTCGCTCTCTCTCTCTCTCTCTCTCTGTCTGTCTCTCTGCGTACATGCCCCTCCAGATGTAGCTTCGGGCGGCCAACGGGTATGCGTTGTTGGTCGGACTGACTGCAGTCAGGATTCGAAAGCTATAACCTTGGACGTGCAGGTTTTGGACATGCAGCGGGAGAAGTCTCCTGTCTGTGTCATACTGATGCAGATCAGGGGCCAAAAGCATTCTTCACCTGCTCAGCCGCATGCGCATCTGTGCCTGCGTCCTGAAGCTCTTGCGAGTGTTTCAGGATCTCAGAGCTACGAGCTAAGCTGAGGAGCGAGATTGAGGCTCGTTTGAAGGCCGGCCAAGGCTGCAGCCTGCAGCGCAGGGCGCAGCGCGCTCAGCTCTGTGCTCAGTTTTTTTAATTCTGACTCCAACCTGGAAAGTCTGGCAAGGAGGAGCAGCGAACGCAGCCTCAATGGCACCGCTCTCCGAGTTCTGACACGTCTCCACAGGTGCCGGCAGCCTTGATGTCCATGCTCTCATTTTCCTCACAAGCCATGAAATCTGAGGTGCATGTCACGTGTCGGGGACAGCATGTTCGGCTTTGAGCACAGGAACCGTGCTGGGGCCCTGCTGCACAAGAATCCGGAAGATCTTCCTCAGATGTTCAGGACCAACGCATTCGCACCGACCACAAGATTGCTTGTGGCAGAAAGTGTGCTCATGCTTGCAGAGGGTAGCAGAAACCAGAGGGGAAGAAACTGTGCAAAGTCAAGCCTCCAGCTTGCATCCATTCCGCTGGCCAAGCAGAGGCTACTGGCACCAGGGTGCAGTGGCTCTGCCGCCCTCAGGCTACGGCACGGAGGGCAAGGTCTGGTCGGGTTGGTACGTTTGTGACACCCTTTCGGTCGGCCACTCACTGATGGCACCCGCAGCACAGCCGAAGACGGCACCGATTGCTGCCTCTGCAGGAACGCCGAAGCAAGGATTGCAGGTAGAGAAACCCACGTCATGATTTCACTGCGTACAGTTCCTGACGACTTCCAGGAGCATGCAGGACTGGCCTCCACTGCATCGGCTGCCACCTGCAGCTGAGATCTCATTTTCACGAAACATCCGGCCAGCACCGCGAGTCCTCTTTTGCTGATTTTATCGATCTCAGCAGCAAAGCGGTCTTGATCTCTGAGAAGCTCTTGCACGAATGCTCCCGGCGATGACAAAACGTCAATTAAGCGGGATGTATTTTTTGCGTCTTGAAAGATGGCACCCCTGTAGAGTTGCAGAACACATGCGGCCTTGACCTCGCCTTGAGACCACTGCGGCCTTCAGACAGCCCTCGGTTTTCCGGCTCTGCTCCAAGGGTAAGTGACAGGGTTCCCAGAATGTCGAGCCGCAGCTTGCAGACCAGACAAAACTTCAAGAAGGTAGCAGAGGATCGTGCTTGGGAATACTTCCGTCAGCCTTGGTGACACTATCGAGGTAACTCAGGGAACGGTTTTGCAGATCACCCCGAGGCGAATGCATTCCAATCACAACCGTTTCTGGCAACCGAGTGAAGATACTGGAGTCCTTGGTCTAGCCGCCGTCCAGTCAGACGCTGCAGCAGTACGGGGCCGCTATCAGCGCCCGTATCATGTGAACAGATTCCCGTGATCAGCGACGTTGCTGCTGGTTGCCACTGTCCCACGACATGACATTGGATTGTGAAGTCGAGTTGTCACACGTAGCCAGTTAAGTAGCGGCATGAGACTCGGCACCTGCGAGGCCTGTTGGTGGATTCTTACAAGCCTGTCTGAGATGATTTACTATGTTTCAAACATCTTCAACCGCAAATATAGGAGAGCATGAGGGCACCCTGTTACAGCACAATTTCACAGCCTACATGACATTCGCTGACACTAGAGCCGTACAAGCACTTGCGTGCATGGCGGATTTACAGCCGCTTTTTGCAGCTTAATCTAGCAGTCTAGCACCCAGCGTCCCCCCGGCCTTCTGTGGAACACGACCCTGGCGTAGCTTCGACAGACGTTCCTTGGGCCTGACAGGATTGGATAAGCAAATCCCAACTTGAGGGCTATTGAGCCGCCTGAAAGATTCGAGAAGAAGATAGGAGCCCACCTGGATTGTCTTCTCATTCACCTGTGCCAGAGTTGTGCCAACGCGCATTGCGGTCGTTCGGGGGCAATGCGTCTGCGCGGTTTACTTATGTCTACTCTTAAAGTCTTACCACTTGCAGCGCATTTCGTGTGTGGCAAGATTGTCGAGGCCTGCCGTAGCCACTTGTTGGTTTCGCACCACTGAGCAACAGATGATAGCTGCCCCTGCACGGGCTTGGCAGCCGTACAGAGCAGCGGTGCATCGAATGCTTTCATGCGACCTCGCTGGCTTTTGGCAGCGCAGCTGCTGCATGCGTACAGGCCATCAGCTTCAGAACCTGCTGAGTTAACAACAGGCTATTCAGGCATGCTGCCTCTTTCCTCTCTCTGAGACTCTGAGAGTAGAGCTGCATCCCCCATCAGCTCCATGCGCTCGTAACAGAAGCGCTTGGACCACTGTGGATGGGACGGCTGGAACGGAAGGGACAACACCTGCTCCATGCATTTGATGTTGGTACTTCACACATCCCTCTGCCCGAGCCTTCGAATGTGTCATTGCTTCCCCGAGAGCGGAAGGCAGCGCCGTCTGAAGCAATCCGTCACAGAGCAATGGCATCTCCTTCCATGCAGATATTCATGGAGTCCTCCTGCACACCGCTGCATTCCGATACACCCTCTCGCGGTATCTCAGTGCCTGCATCAATGCCACGAACTCGAGACGCCAAAGCCTCGACTGCTACTGGACCCGGCGAACTGGCGGCAAAACCTGAAGCCTTGAGGAAAGGACAGACTCGGCAGACAACGAAGCACTTGCAATGCCCCGCTGGTCAGTGGCATCAGCTCGCAGTCTTCAGCCTGGGCAAGAAACTCACAGGCCTTCCGGCCGATTCCATTCGTTCGCGGCCTTGAGCTCGAGCTCCAGTCGCTCTTGCTGCAGGTTTCGATGCACTTTGGCGAATTCGGGGTCCTGCCAGTTTCGAAGAACTCTACTTGCCAAGTGACTTCTTGCGTAACTCAGCCCTCTGCAATGGCTGCGTTCACGGCCGCCTTAGTGGAAGCCGAGCTACAGGTGAGTCTCACTGAACATGCCTAGGACTAGGAGCCGTACAGACTCTTATAAAACCAAACCTCTGGATGAAGCGGCCAGTCTATTTTTAGCATGTTGCGATTTATTGAAAATCGGACATGCTCGTCATCAGCCTGGCCCAGTTCAACTGAACGTTGTGCAAGCTTCGTGGGCTTTGCATACCTACAGCACACCTCTGCCACCTGTCGTCGCTGCATACATGTGTTTTTGTCTAGTTACTCGTCCACCTTTTTTGAGGGGCTTCTAAGGAGCAAGCTCTACTGAACTTGTAGCCAGTGAAGATGGCTGCACCTTCCTCGCCTGCCTCAAGGCAGCCAGGACATTCACCACCCGTGCTTCGAACTGATGCTTGCCTTCACTTCCAAATCGATGCACAAGCCTGGACCGATGCATCATGCGGAATCATGCATCAAGAACTATCACGAAGTCGCACTTGTAAGAATGCGAACGAAGACCCGCCTTTCACATCAGATCCACGGCTGCTAGTGGGCATTGGACCCAGCACCACAGCCTCATCCAATGCCTTGGTACACACTTGGAAGGCCAACAGCCAACGGAGTCTGGACAGTACTGCTCTGCTCCACTTGCTGAAAGAAGTAGGGTGGCCTGCCTGCCCGCTTTTCGTGTTCTGACACTTTGAAGCAGGCTTATCTCAGGCCACTGCCAGTTCAGGAAGAGCAGGATCAAGTTTCCCGAGCCAGGTCCTGGGCATGGACCTTGCAGGACGTCTCACAAGCGAGGCCACTTACAGCGAATCCCTGAGTCTGCTTCCGAGTTGCAGCCAAGATGATGACCTTCAGACTTCAGGCTCACAACGCTCATGAGATCCCTATCACTAGACTCACTAGACCATCATGCTAAAGCCGCAGTTCCGAGCGGCTCCCGGAACTGGGCCAGGGCGGCAAGGGCCCACGAAAGACAACTCCAGGAAATCTCAGCTGACACGGAGATCGCAAGTTCCCCTAAACTCGCCCGAGTCCGCGCGGAAGCTCGCAGCCTTTGCGCTTTCTTCGTCTGCCGACGCCAAGGGCGCTAGCAGCCAGAAGGAACGCTCGGGAAGATCCTCGCGAAGCTCAGCGGTGTTGTGCCGAAGCTGAAACACTGCGAAGCATGCAGGGGTCTTTCGTTCGTGAGCTTTTTCGGTTGAAGCTTGCATAGGCGGAGACTAAATTTGGAGAGGGGCGTCCTTGTCGCTCTGGACTTCCGTTCTTTCTGCTGGCAACCATTTTCCTGATCGGTCCTGGCCACGTTCGTCAGCTTGAAAAGCCGACAATCAGCATGCCACGATCAGGGGAAGTGAGGCCTTCCACAATGTCAGCATCGTCTGGCCAAAGCACTGATGGAGCGGGCAGCTCCTGAAACCGATGACGGAACGCCCTGCACCCTTTTTCGCCATGTTGTCCGCCCATCTCCCCGCACAAGGCTCCTATCGCAGCGGGCAATCTCCAAGCACAGCTGCGTCCACACCTGCGCCCGTGGTGCTCGACGCAGTGTTGATCTTCGAACATGAGGCTGAGTATAGGTGGCCTTGAGGTCTTCCCATTGCTGGGACGTCAGCAAGATTGGGCAGCCAGGCGTCGCAGGCTTCACCTCGAAGCTTTTGCAGCCAACACGCATCAACAAATTTGATGCCAAGAACCAGATGACATCAACCGATGCCTTTGCCAGGATTGGTTGTTCGTGTCCTGGACGAACCCATGACACTGCAGCACTACATCATGTGCTGCGATGCTGCGTAGAACCCCGTTTGCTCTGCAGGCATCGGGTGCCATGCGGCTCCCCTGTGACACAGCAAGCTCGGAAATCCTGGGGGCAGCAGCGAGAAGCTCCAGGCTCCGACCGGCACCTCAGAAGACACGGCCAAGGAGAGCCAAGGGCGAAGACATCACTCCGAGACCTCCTCGGGTAGGAGGAGGGCCAATCCGGACTTCTTGCCTGGCACGTCTGCGGTGTCCTGTTCCCTCCGCTGGCTCAAGGGAATGTCCTGGATGCTCGCCCACTGCCAGCTGATGCACGTGCAGCGAGATGTCCTGCATGTCCTGGATGGTGTCAGACTACTGCAACCTGAACCTCTCTTCTCAAGGTCAACTTGCCAGATACTGCTAAAATCTCGGCGGAACATCAAACAAGATGACCGAGCGTCACTTGCCACATTGGAAGGTGCTCGCAAACATCGGGGAAGCTTCCTGCACGAGCGCTGACGTCGCACTCAGGAGTACCTATGTGCTACTGCTGCCGTGCCTGAATTTTACGCAGTGTCATGTAACGCAATGTTGAAGCCGGAGTCGTCTACTACACAGAGTTCACAAATTTCAGAAGTCCATTGGCCCTCCATTCTGGTGCACCCGCGCATGCGGCAATCAATGTCTGATGAGCATCTGCTTACAAATGGGATTGTAAAACAACCCGTTTAACATCTCCTAATGGTCCGAATCAAAACCACCAATCTGGATATTAATACAACTTTAGTACTGGGCCTGGCTGGATTGTGCTGGGTTGTAGTACAACTTTGTACCAGAAATGCCTCGTTTGGAGGTCTCGCTCCTGCTTGACTGTCGTTGTCGTTTGTTCTTGTCATCGTTTATCCACAAAGAATGCTTGAACAGCCAGGCAGGGACATGCCAGGACTAAACACTGAGGCGTCGTGCAATCCCACTTGCAATCCGCCGGCCTGACCAAGCTTTCAAAGCGTCTGAGAGCCACTGCATCGTCCGAGCGCTTCTTTGTGGAAGGCTGCATCCTTGTGGTCGACCAGAGTCCAGTCACCTGCATAGACAGACGAGCCAAAGAAGGCGAGGGAGAGCGAGAGAGAGAGAGAGAGAGATATATCCACACCTCTCTCGCTCTCCCGCGCTGTCTCTCTGTCCCTCTCGCTCGCTCTCCCTCTTCTTCCTTTCTTTCGCCAGGGCTGTGCCAGGGAGTTGCCCCCCTGGCCAGCGCGCGTCGGCGCCCCCGTCCGTTTTGGTGGAGGGAAAAGCTTGCACCACTGAGGCAAATTTAATCAGGATGATAGACGGCATAACAAAGGCAGAGTAAGACAACCACAACACGATGGCAGCTTAGGAAGGGTACTCCCTAGATAGTTGTTACGGCCTCCGGTGCATGACGCAGCAGAGGCAGGTTCCCCTGAAAACATGAAAGCATGTCAAGTAGAGCCCCAAATAACAAGACATAGAGGAAGAAATTCCCCTGCAAGCTGCTGTGAAAGGCACGTGGCTGGTTAATTAGAGCCTCGAGCGGAGGCACGGCATATCGGTAAATGGATGGCTCCTGCGGCCCGTCATATAGTACAAGGAAAAGTTTTCCTAGGGGTGTTCCCTCGTGTTCACGCGAAAAAGCGAGTGGAGAGACTACTTGAAAGGAAGAGAAAAAGTTACACATGCATATCACTGTGCCTGAAACAAAAGTTGTTTTGGAAGGTACGGCGCTAGGTGATTGGGTTTACTCACAGAGAAGGAAAATCGTTGCTAAAGGCTCATTTCCCCGCTCAGAGCTCACCAAAGGGGCCCCCGGTCAACTTGGTGGTCCTCTACGTCGTCGAGGTAAAGGAGACCTTTCACGCGGCCCTGGGGTGGGCCTTCCTCTGCTCTGGTCTTCGGTCAGAACGATCATGTCCCCTATGGTAAGACGGACTTCTTTGCATCTGAGGCACTCTCGGGGAGTGGTTGCGCCAGGGTGTAAAGGGGATGTCCCTGTTGTCGCCATGTTCTCACGAAGTGCAAGGATAACTATCTTCTCGTCCTTGCCAGAGTCACGAACTTGACGTACGGGTAATCCCTCACCCAGCCACCTCCACGGAAGTTAGATGTGGCGGGCGTACGATTCAAGCACCGCAGGAGTCGAGTGAGCTGGCTTCCAAGGGGGAGACACCCTCGAGTAAACCAGTCACCCCCCTCCCCGATGCAAAGGGGTGTCACAGACCCCTAAGCAAAGGTGCGGCACTTGAGCCAAAATTCCTTGCTTGCTTGCTTGCTTGCTTGCTAGGGGTATGGGCTTCAGGAAGCCCTGGCCCGAAGGCCTACCCCCATGGCGCGCGCTTGTCTGTCGGTGCGGCCGCTTTCGGGCTGAGGGCAATCCACGTTCCCCTGGATGTGCCTGGACGACTGACCCCCCCAGAAAGACACCCCTGCTAAGACCATCACCGATGGACAAGGTACCACAGGCAGCATCCAGGTCCTCCATGGGCACTCCGACTGTCACTGGTGCGAGGGGCAGTACAATTGTCTCAACACACCAACAACACCAACTTCAGCTGCACTACCAAGGTTACCGTTGCTGTACTGCTCCCCTTCCTGGATGTTGCGGGAGCTCCACTTCCCAACTCCACTGGTGACATGGACAGGATCCTGGGCTAACCTGCCTCCCCACCTGATCCCGAACACAAGCCTCGCACAGCACTGCCTCGACCTTCCCACCCCATCCCCGAAGCCTGGTTGATTTCCTTTGGGCTTGGTGACAGGACAGGTGCAAGCAGACTGAGTTCAACAGCAGTTGCGGAGTACATTACTACTGCCCAGGAAGCTTCACATGACTTGTCGAAAATATGCCCCAACTCCCCGGTCCCCCACGCAGCACACAGCAGTTTGAGATCCCCACAGGTTACGTACCTCAAAGCGACAATCAACGGCAAGGCTAGTCGTCATTGTCTAAGGAGCTGGGGCTTGTAAGGGGCGCCTCCTGTGTGGCTCAGTTGCGTGCAGCCCCTCAACTCTCGGTCCGGTGGATCGCGTAAAGGGCGTGGATGGCGTGGTCGAGCTCGCCGCACCGCTGTCTCCGTCGGGCATGGTCGCCGTCCCCCTCCACCACGCGACTCCCCCTCAAGTGGTCACGGGTCTCGCCATTCCCCCTTGGAGCCCTCCTGCTGCCGAATCAGCTTGGTGCCCGGCGTTCTGAAGGGGCTTGGGCAGCTTGTTCTCCGCTAAGATCCATTGTGGCTGCCTGATCCCCCCGTGGCTGTGGCGGATGTTGGGCTACTGGTTGTTCATGACGCAGGTCCCCTCGTTCTCGAGCTTCAAAGCGGTCACGGTGGTGTGCGGTGGCTTTGTCCCCCTCTGTGGGGCCTGCCCCCCTTGCTGTGTTGGGGACTTCAGCTGCTGCTTCAAAGGGCACCATTTGCACCCAGTGCGCCACCCCATTCCAGGTAAGCTCGTCAGGTTTGTGGAGCCCCCTTCTCTTGAACTCCGCGCAGATTTCACTCTTGGTCGCCTAACATGTTCTTCCAGGCCAGTGCTGTCTGACAGTCCCCCTGGCGAGCTTTCAGCTTGTCTGGTGCGTTTAGGAGGTGAGCCTCCCAGCGGTTCCCCGGGGCTGTCCAGCATGAGGTTGAGGAGGTCTGCTTGGTAGGCTCCCGCTGGCGGTGGGGGGGAGTCATAGATCGGCGTCGGGGACACGTCATGCCCCCCCCCCCCCCAGCTGCTGTTCCCTGCCATTGCTGTCCCCAGGAAGTTTGCGGTCTTTGTGTCCCTGCCAAAATCACGGACAGGTAGATGAAGGCGTCCCCCTCCCAGCGTACCTCGAATCAAGGAGCGCAAGGGAGAAGTAATGGGGTAGGCTCGCCGATCCCCCCGGCGGAGAGGTTTGACAATGTCCCGAAAGGTCAGCGCAATGGTCCCCCCGAGCTCCGGAGCCACCTATCATCACTCGGAGGAGGGCCTTGTTCGCGAGGGCGCGTAGTTCTGCAAACTGTCCCTTCAACAAGATGGCCCGGCTCCCTCTCTCAGGAGAACGCCCGGGTTGCCCCTCTCTCTGAGGGGGCTCGGGGCTTGAGCACTCGCTGCTTGAACGCCCGGGTTGCCCCTCTCTCTGAGGGGGCTCGGGGCTTGAGCACTCGCTGCTTGAGCCAAAATGGCTACAAATTCCTTTCTTTCTTTCGGCAGGGTTATGGGCGAGGGGGTTACCCCCCTTGCTACAAATTCCTTTCTTTCGCCAGGGCTACAGGCAAGAGTTGCCTCTTGCCAAATTCCTCTCGCTCTCTCTTTCTTTCTTTCGCCAGGGCTACGAGCAAGGGGATTGCTCCCCTTGCTCGCTCTCTCTGTCGCTCTCCCTCTATCTCTCTCTCTTTCTATATATATATATATATTTAGAGATATGTGTATAAACTGAACGCATGCATATGTATATCTGCGAATGCGTCTTCGTGTGTGTGTGTGTGCTGAAAATGCCGTATTTGTCAGACAGCCTCAACCCAGCGTCTATGATCACTCTAAACGTTCATCTTCTGCCGCATGAAGACGGAGACAAAGTTTGCCTTAGGGCAGCAGCAACGAAGAAGCCAAGCATGACCACTGGCGCACGTTCAGTTGCGACAAAGACAATTTGTCATCCGCTTCGCTCCTCGAAGCGGCCCAAAAACACCCAACTGGGGCCCAAGCTGTACCGAGGATGGCTTGCTTCTCCATGCTGCTAGATGCTGGTTCTTGGGCAGAAGCTGCAGAGACCAGCAACCGCGCAAAAATGTGCAAACCTTGGAAGGCCTGCAGGATAAATCTGATCACTAGAAACACTTGCCACCCAAATGGTAAATCCAGAAGAGAACTCACTCACTTCTCTCATCCTTCCCGCCTCGCTAAGGGATGCTGCATGTGGGTTTGTGCGGACCTCCTCCCATCTCGAACACGTTACCATCGCCCATCTGGAAGTGGAATCTGGGCAAAATTGAAATTTTTGGACCATTGAACACCTGTGTGTGCTTCCATGTGCGTGTTTGTGAATGAATGAATGAATGAATGAATGAATGTATGTATGTATGTATGTATGTACGCACGTACGTATGTATGTATATTGTATATATATACACATGTATGTATGTATGTATGTATGTATGTATGTATGTATGTATGTATGTATGTATGATGGATGTATGTATGTATGTATGCACGTATGTATGCATGTATGTATGCATGAAAGGTAACGAACCGAACTGGAACCGCGAAATGGAACCGATTCCACAGGAACCGCCGGAACCGCAATGCCGGTTTAGGAACC